TGCTCAGAAAAAGGATCAACATGCTCTGAAGTCAGAGCACAAAAACCTTTTTTGTAACAAAATATCGATTTCTGCTGTCCCTGTATCGATACATTATTAGCAAACAAAATATCACGATACTACACAGTATCGATTTTTTCCCCCCCACCCCTACTACATACTGCCCCCATTCAAGAAAACTTTCGTCAGATCCACCTCATTTCACCTTACCATTTTTTAAAATTATGTCTGGTTAACTGTTACCTTGGTATTTCCATCACTCATCTGCTACTTGCAACCACCATCCGCTTAACAGTTATTCATAAAATTACACTTAGTGACCAAACTGAACCATCTATCTATTATGCTTTGTTACTCCTTTCTTTTTAACTTGCATTTTTAACCATGGTGGTGCAGTGACTAGCACTGTTGCCTCACAGCAAGGAGCTCCTTAGTTTGATTCTACCACCTGGCCGGGGCCTTTCTTTGTGGGGTTTGCATGTTCTCCCCGTGTTTGCGTGGGTTCTCTCTGGGTACTAGTAGTTTGCTTGTAGTAAGCTTATTTACCTACTTTTTCTCTTTACTCATTATTATTTTTTAACAATTTATTCATTTCTATTGGCTGTTTGTTTCTATAGTTTCTAGTCAACTTTAAACTTTTTTTGCTGATGCACCCGGTGTATGAATTCATAATTGCAGAATTTAGCATAAAAATTGGACTAAGAAATACAAAACATATCCAGTAAAATGACGACAAAAATGCATTCCTCCAGATTTAAAAAATGAAACAAGTTTTTTTTAATGATACGTTTGTGTTTGAAGTGGTCACATGTGAGATGCGCTGTGCATGGCACAACTGAGTTGTCACCCCATGTAACATTGTCTTTTACATTGCAGACATCAAAGCAGCAAAATTCGTCAATACATATTTAAAATCTGAAGGCGTCCACAGGTGTGGCTATATATGTACAGACGGGTTTTATACGGTTTTCAGGTGACAGTCTGGACTCAATTCTTCCAAATACCAAAGTAATACAGAAAAAAATGATACGGGTATTTATTTATCGCTGCGGCACCGAAATTACCTCAACAAACGCTGTTATACCCGTCCAAAAAAACTGCGGAATATTTCGTCCGTATTTTTAAAGCACCCCTTTTCCATCAGAGTTGATTTTAAAGGTTTGTAAGATGGCGGTGGAAGAAGGGGGGGAAAGAGCAACGAGGTCGCCATATTGTAAACAGAGGCTACATTTTTACCAGCAGCTCCGCTGGCTGCAGCCTCGGCAGGAGGGGAGGACCGACTGCAAGCTAATTCAAGCCTCTTGCAGATACGACATATTTAAGCTTTTTTTTTTTCAAACTCCTGTGTGTTATATTTTCATTAACGACGCGTGAAAATAAGTTTATATAGTTTGAAAGTGTATAGCAAAGTCCAAAAGTCAGTATACAAGATAGACGACTGGGATAACGGTGCACAGTCCTCCCAGAGCAAGAAAACATTCTGCTCTGTTACTTTAATTATCAGTTCCTATCTTAGATCACCAAACGTCTTTTAATTAACTTTAACTGGTTTATTTCCTGAGATTCTGAAAATGTGTGGAAGTAAACTTGACATGCAAGCAGCTTCCAGAGAAAAATGGGAGTTAATAATAAACCTTACAGAGTGCAACACAGCGGCTAAAGCCGGCCTCCATGGTTAACGTGAACGGAGAACACAGCGGGAATTTCGGAAGAACAATTGATCGTTAATGTTGACTTTTCATTGATATAAGCGTGAGCTTTTGTAGCGAAAAAACTATCAGGCAAAATGAAATCATTTAACAGATCTTCTTTACACATTTCAAATCATGTGTCTATGAGAATCGGAACCACAGCGAAACGGTAACCGAGGACAATCACTGGAGTTAGCATTCAGCCATCTTTACACATAACTGACGGGGACTAGCAGTTATTTCCGCTTGTTTTACTGACTCTGTGCGTGTTCTTCAGTCAAATAACTTACCAGCACTGGAGATGGAAAGCTGCAGGACAGTGGTCACAGCACAGCAAGTCTCCCCCTTCCCTGCAACTATCGCAGGTGTCGTGGTTAGTCGCCCTGCCGCTCCTCCGGACGTCCCTCACCAGTTTCCGACTCCGTTTCTCTACCTCATCTGACTTCGGGGGCGCCAGTAGTGTTTGAATTTGCTGCAAAAGTTGTTCAGCTGTTTAGTTTGACATCGCGGCTAGTGTCTAGTGTCCGCTGTGACGTTTATAGAGAGCGGTAACAGTAATTTGTGGCCTCCGTTACCAAGCCGAATTAGCTAGCTAAGAGCTTGACAGCGGGCTATAGTGATGATGACAGCTGCGATTCAAATTTGGTAAAATTTATTAAAGTGTTAGCAACAGAGGAATGTTTCGCTTAATTAAGGCCTTAGACATAGCAGCCTTACCTCCATTAAGCCCCCAGAGGTATCCAAATCGTACACAATCGTTGGGGTCTCCATTTTGTCCCACATTCATCCAGAAACAGACTTTGCAAAAGGAATTTGCGAACCAAGAGCCTCGGTGCTCACAATAACCACGATAAATCCTGTAAGAGATTGCTTCCCGAATGTTTTCGGTCAGAGGATGTCTGGTAAATCGACGTTAGCTATCGTTAGCTGCCCAAAGGAGCTAGCTAGGCAAACGTCAACCAGTCAAGGTTGTGAAGCTAGCGGTCTCACTAGCTGCCGTGGTTGGCCATAAAAAGGTAACAAAAATGACGTCTAACTATGTAGTTAGAATACTGATTCCTTAGCACCACTTTTTATGTGTAAGTGCCACGAAAACATACAGAATTTTCTATCAGTAGACTACTGCTCTTAGCTACACAATCCATCTGCGGCCTAGCTGGCCAGCCATGATTCTTGTTTCTGCTCCTGCAAAAAGGAGCGCTGTAAATCTGCAAAGCCCTCCGCTCCCATTGTCAAAACAAAATGTAACCAAACAATCCAGGAGAAAACTAGATGTAGTACGGCCCAAAACCTGGTTTCCGACAGCGTCCGGAATGTATAATCCTCAAATCAAGTATGTGGAAATGCAAATTTGGTTGATGTTATTGTTGTGAAAAGGCTGTGCATCTACACTGGCTGCTAGCAACATCCTTACAGTTGGCGCAACCGCGCACACCGGACACGCATGCGTATTGGAACGGATATAGATAATTACGGATACATTATAACGAAGCGGTAAAACATTGTCTACACGGTGTTTTGAGTGGCACTGACGTTTTGAAGTTATTTTATTTGCTATGACTTTCCCTGTCGGTTGCCTTATGGCACTACTCATTACTATTGTGCTGCTACGAGAGTAGCATTAACTGCTTCTTGCTTCAATAGCTTTATTGTTTGTTAAAGAACACGACTCGTGTAATTTGCACTTCTGCTACAATAGCGTTTCAGCTGCTCAAATGACCATCTTAATTCTTCTTCCGCTTGCTCAACGTGTAGTCTATTTCAACATGTAGTCTATGTAGACAGCATCCATCCATTCTCTTCCGCTTATCCTTATCGCGGGGTGGCTGGAGCCTATACCAGCTGGATGACAAGTCAGTTAAGCTAACAGAAATGTTTAGATCAATTCAAACTAATTTAGTTTTAATTACATAGCACCAAATCACATCAGCTGTCACTGTCCTCAAAGCGCTTAGTTATCCTTCTACCAATCAGACTTTTCTGACAGAGGGCATTGTGTATTTTGCAATTAAAGTCCTCACTGGGTTAAGCTGCTGAAGTCTGAAACACATTCTTTAATTAAGAGAGGACCAGATTGTGCAAAGTGAAACGCTGAAGTAATGCACAGATCATTAGAAAATAAAGACATCCAAAACATTAACTAATCAATAATCCACCATTATATTCTCTTAAACCAAAGATTTATTTAAGAATGTATGAAGCCCTAATTTACTTATTTTCCATCTAGCACTTAAATAATATAAGTTCTCACATAAATAAAATTTGTATTTATTGCAGGTTTGTCTGGTTTTTGTTAACCAGATCACACCAACTATAAAGTCTGACCAGATCCCAAAACACTACATGTAGGGTAAAGAATATGTTTGTGTGGGACACCTTACTAATGCTGAGAGGTGATGAAAACTGAATCTAGAAACAAAAAAACTATGCTAGTTAACAGTTTGGCATCAGTTATGTGAAGGATATATATACTGCCATTTATGTGAATGAAAATTTCCAATCTTAAAATAGAAGGTATGATCTCTGTTTTGTGCAACCATGTCTATCATATTAAGTATTAAAACTGTTTAAATATATTTTAGCAGCCAAACTGTCTGTTTCAGTTTTAATAGCAATTAATCCATTGGTCAGCACACGGACTGATTGTTATGCAGCACTTTTCTGCTCTTGCAGAGCACTTATAGCACATCAGTTCTGAACCACACTTTTTCATCTTGGTGTTCTCTGTTGCAAACTAGAGCACATTAAAATGTGGGGCATTGCATCAATATATGGGACTGGTAGACAAGGAATAAAAATGCTGTGCAGGCCCCACTTAAAGTACGCAACATCCACAGTAAGTAAAGGTCCTGCATTTAAAGTCTCGGTAAAATATAAGTATTTAGATATTAAGGTAAAGATATAGTTTATTTATCCCAGAACTGGGAAATTTTTATGTTATAGTAGTTAATGTTTGACTTAAATCAAACAAACCTAAATAACTTAAATAAGTAGAGTGGTGTGCAGCTTAATAAAATCTTAACAATTAACAACAATAATAACTAGTTGAAAATAAAATTAGGCACAATAAAGTAAAATAAGTATAACTTTAATTAGTGATATATAACTAGTAAAAATGTCCATCCATTCATTCATTAATTTTCTGCTGTTTATCCAGGTTCACGTTGCGAGAGCAGCAGTCTAAGCAGAGATTTCCCTCACAACAGCCACCTCTTCTATCTGGGGAATACTGAGACATTCCAGGCCTGCAGAGATGTGTGATCTCTCCACTGAGTCCACTGCCCAGAATACCTCACCTATAGGAAGCGTCCAGGAGGCATCCTAGTCAGATGCCCAAACCACCTCAACTGGCTCCTTTAGAATTTTCCTTTCAAAACAAAAGCAACAACAAAAATAGAACATTAAAACTGGCTAGCTAATTGTTGGTCTTCTACTTCACCTTGTTGTCAGTGTGGGCACCAGGTACCACCTCAAAATCCTGGATAGGCACAGGCTGTCGTTGTTTTCTTCCTTCTGTAGTTGATGATCTCTGGTCTTACTCAGAGATGATTTCTTCCAGACCACTCCACAAAATCATCCTCCTGCTCCTGTCCATCACGTATACATCCAAACACTGTAGAACTGTCAGAGTAGTTCTGTTACCCAGAGTTGTACTGAAAGCCTGAGATGCACAAGTTGAACAGGAATGATGAAGGTGGCACTATATGTTGTGCCAATACCCAGTGACACTGGGCAGTTATCAGAAAATTGCATGTTAGTACTCATTGTGCAGAAAAATGTTTGTTTTCATATCTAAAATATTTAAATTGATATTACTGCAAAATTAATATGCATATCAAATCAAATCACTTTTATTGTCACATCACATGTGCAGGTACATTGGTACAGTACATGTGAGAGAAATTCTTGTGTGCGAGCTTCACAAGCAACAGAGTTGTGCAAAATACAATAACGTAAACAAGCAAAATACAAGAATGGTTACATCTGAAACTAATAAATATATGTACAATATATAATAGTATATGCATTTCTGGATGTGTATACTAAATATTTTTCTATGTGTGTGTATACACATATTTTACAAATTAAATAGAGTAAACAATAAAATAAAATATATAAAAATATGTTGCGTTATATTTAATTCATTTTAACCACTTAGGTTGTTTACTCTAGATCTATGCATCTTATTCTATATGGTAATGTAGCATTATCCTGCTTTAAGAATCATATATATTTAAAAAGTTCAGCAAGCTCATACCTTTGCCTTCAACTCTTTGACATTTTCTAGCAAATCTAAGAAGGGCTTTATATATATACTGGCTGTTTTTTTTTTAATGGGGCTGATTCTAAAACCTAAAAATGGTTGCCTTGGAGAGAGGAAATGTTAGCAATTATAATGTATAGTGGACAGAATTACCATGAATGATGGGTAATTGCTAACCCTTGCCAGCAGAGGGAGGCACTGCTCAGTTGTATTTGAGTAGCTGGCAAAATGAGTTTTCATGCTGGTAGTTAGCTTATGTCAGGGGTGTCGAACTCCAGGTCTCGAGGGCCGGTGTCCTGTAGGTTTCAGATCTCAACCTGGGTCAACACACCTGAATCACATGATGAGTTCATTACCAGGCCTCTGGAGAACTTCAAGACATGTTGAGGAAGTCATTTAGCCATTTAAATCAGCTGTGTTGGATCAAGGACACACATAAAACCTGCAGGACACCGGCCCTCGAGGCCTGGAGTTCGACACATGTGGCTTATGTGATTTTGTGCATAGAAATATATGACATTCCATTTTAGAAATGTAGTCCCATGTTCCAATTAATTTTAATTAAATTACTAATGTTACTAGCCATCACATGTTGTACACATGTCCAGCATGACCATTCACCAGGCTACAGTTTATTGAACATTTTAGTGCATATATTAATATGTACATTAATATGTAGTACAAGAATGTTGAAAATGAAAAATCTTTTTTACAAAGTGAATTTTCAGTTATATTTTTAAATCTACATATTTTGATCACATTTGTAAAAGCCCTTAAAAAGTATTTAGTTGCCGACTTTAACCTCCTAGGACCTGGCGTCCACATATGTGGACATCACATTTTGGGTTATTTAGACCAAAATACT